AAAAAAAAGAAGTTGAATTTGGGAAATTTAAATCTCAAATCAAACATCAAAAAATTAAGGAACCATTTCCCATTTCCCACCATGTGTCCATAAGTGTCCACAAGTAGCTTTACTTTGTCTACACTAACTACAGATTTTATAACTTTCTAAATAAAATAATTAACTTCATCTTAAAGAATTAGTCCTTTTCTGCCATTTACACTGTGCAGAATCCTTTTGTTCTCATTTAGCAAAGACTTATTAAATAAATATTGCCAGTACTTGCTGACTGATGGTTAATCTCTTTGACATACCCTTTAAATTAAATATTCAAGAGACAAAGATAAGCAAATGACAACTTCTTACACAAAATAGCCTAATGCATAACCATTCAGTTACATACTACAAGCATGGGTCTGGCCCTAAGCCCACTAATGTGAATGGAAAATCTCACGCTAACATCAAAGAACTTAGGATCAGTCCCCATAATAACTACATGAGGAACATTCCATTTTGGGAGATGTAGTTACATAGCAGTGGTTAATATATTCAGTGTATTTTTTCAGAGGCTGGAACTTCTTAACTTTTTGCAGAAAAGATTTATAATGGGAGGCAGATACATTCAACTGCTTGATAGAGAAAAAAAAAAAAAAAAAAAAGGAGGAAAGAGAAGGGGATGAGAAGAAAAGCAGATGGTCTGAAAGCACCCAGGTCCCCAAAGTATGTGAAGATTGGGGAGATCAGTTATGCCATACAAACCTAATACAAAAAATCTCACTGTAATAGGTCTCAAGCTGTAAAGTCAGTTTACTATAATCATTTACAAAGTGCTTAGGGAGATGAACCTCTTGCTCAGCTGGCATGCAACTACTACCCCTGAAGCTGGTCAGATCTGCGCATTCAGGACAGATGACTGCAATTCTTGCAAGTTCCCTCTATTTGCACCAGGTAGAATGTATTTGGTGACAGTTTTCATCATCTCCCACTCATGAAAGCAAACGCTGGCACCGACAAATGAGAACAAAACATTGCATTCACAAAAGATGAACACATCACTTAAACTACGTCTCTTAGTGCAAAAGTTATTAAAAATGTGTGCTATTTACATACTTACTAAATTCAGAGAAAAAGCAATTTATAAATAATAAAATTGGTTACCTTTATCACATTAAATAAACATTGAAAGGAAAATATGCAAAATCCATTTCCCTTTTTCTTTTTGCTTAAATTCATGTATGGGCCTTCCTTCACCTGCTTCAAATCAGATGGTTGTTTTGAACAAGTTATAAAGTATTCTCAGGCAAGGCTCAAATCACCTGCAGGTTTCTACATCTTCACGTTTTATTATTATTTCAAAAATGGCATTATTTCCCTTTTTCTTAGTGCATTTATTTCACAATGAGCAAAGAAAACTGGCTAATGAACTATACAAAAATAAACTAGTTGTGTAATGTAAGGAAACAAAAACAACGAGAAAAGTGTTTTCCTCTCTAATAATTTTCACTTAGAAAAGTATAATTTGTTTCTTGAACCAATGAGAGATTAAACGTTTCTGACAAATTGTGATTTTTAAATAGATGCAGCTCAATTAAGTATAAACTGCATTTCCATCTCTGTAGCCATTCAAAGTAACTAAAAATACTGTACAATGTTAACTGTACAAATTGATCGGGATACTAAAAAAAAAAAAAAGGAGTGCAAAACAGTATTGGACACACTGTTATTCAAATTTTTACATCAGATATTCATCTCCCTTACAAATTTTAAATGTACAATTTATGTCACACTAATCAACATCTATACCTAAGATTTATGTCATCTCATGATCAAGTTCCTTCTAGCAGTTATCAGAAGAACTGATACCATTTCAAATAAAACAGAAAGATATCTGGATGGAAAGAACAGGTTATGCTGAGAGCAAATTCATATTATGATCTTTGTTTGTTAAAGATAATAATGGAGCCAAATCACAAGCAAAGTTGCTACAGACAGAGTAATAACACTAGCATTCTACTAACATAGCATTCCACTGCCAAATCTTCAGAAAAAAACAAAGAAAAAGGAAGAAAAAAAGTGCCAAGACACTAAATGTGGGAACTGGAAACATTACCACCATGTTAAATAAACTTTCATTTTGCAGGAAAAATAAATAAACAAACCAACCCAATGAAGAGCTAACATTCAGCACTTAGGCAATATTTCCTGCTAAATGAGGTAAATATAAAATCAAAATATCATTGTAAAACTGGAAAATGCACTTGTAACTGTACAGAAAAGCAGTATCTAAATCCAGAATACTTACATTATTGCATTCTCCCAGGAAATATAGTGCAAATCCATCAGCTTTCGTAGCTGCCAAAGCAATAATATAAGAAATAAATTTACTCAGAGTGGGAATCAAATTTATAGAAATTCTCTGAAGTGAAACCACAGATTCAACTCTATTAAGGACAACCGTAAACATTTCTGAATATGAAAGTCCATCACCATGTCCTTTGAAAATTCCAAGACTCTTTCAAAGTTAGAGGTACAGAACAATACTTATTCTCACCACTGCAATGTACTATGTTCTGAAAGATTAATAGAAACAACAATGCATCATACTCTTATTCTAAGGCCTAATGCCTATAAATTCAAATTGGTTCATACGACAGTATAGAAGTAAGAACATACATTTATAATATGACCAGGCAGATAAGATTATAATTTCCATGAGGAAAATAAATACTGCGTGGAGATGGTAAACTATTTTTGTCCTTGCCTTAAGACAGAAAAGTATGGGAAAATAAAATGCTGCAAATATTGCCATAAAAATGTGTTTCATAACAAACTGTTTCTATTTTCTGCACCTGTCCCATTCCAAAAACAGCAACACACCAGAATTTTTGTACTTGCCTGATTTTTGCTAAATTCACATTGCTGTATGAAACAGGGTAAAGTTGAATTCCTTAACCTTTAAAAAACTGAAAGTCAACGAACTATTATAAGTTACAGCTGAAATGAAAACTATGAATCAGAAGAGAGTATAGGAAGTCAGTGTTTTTTACCCTGTTTTACACAGTAGACTCAGTACTTAGAGTCTAAGTAACCTTTCTTTTCAACAGCTAATAACCATTCTACCCAGTAAATGTACTTCTCTGATACCATACTTTAATGAACGAACACAAGAATCTGTTCAGTACATTTCATGGGAGCAATTACACTTCTGTATCATCAAATCAGTTGGATTTGTGCATTTTTTTGACAGAAGGAAAAAAATCTACTCTGTTGTTACTTATTGTCAGCTGTGTGACATCTGAGAGTTCATGGCATGGTGGTTTGGATTTAAATTTTAAATCCCTCAGCTGTGGCATATAAGCATATTAAGCAATATAGTAAAAAACCACTGTAGAGGAAATATAAAAAAATCTCATGTGCTTTAGAAAAGAAAAAAAAAATCTAAAAGATAAGTCGACTCTTCCAGTTTGTTGCTTGTGGTGTATTAACAAAACTCAGTTCTGATTTGCTGTGAGCTGGGCATCAATATTCAAAAAGCCACTAAAGCAAGGCCAGTAAACAGAAGTGGCCTTTTTGAAACTTCATGTACAGAAGAGAGAACAATTATCCCTCATTACAAAACAACAAAATATCCATGATGGGGAAATTCTTCTGAAGAGTTGCTTGAAACCTACTACACTATATAAATGTACCAATCCTTTCTATTGAAGTCTCAGTACAACCACTATGGTTAGAAAAAAACAACAAACTACCAAATAACACATTTTTACTGGGGATGTTTTCTTTTTTCTTTTAACTCTTGATCACATGTAGTATTCATTTTTATATATATATACTAGAAATACTATTTAAATCAGATAGAAAAAAAATGCTTAAAAACTGAATTTGAAGTGATGATGTCCTCTTTCTATACATCTCAATTTTGTTTGAAAAAGGATTTAAGTATGCAGTGATATTACTGATAATTTTTTTTTTTAACTTTTAATACTGATCTTTAAACACCATCATAACCAGAATAATCTATAATTTGGTTCATTTAACAGGATGATTTAATTTTGCAACAGGCTGCAGAGCTCTCTCCAAAGAAGAACCTCACTCAGATGTAGTAAGGGATCCAATGAGGTACAGAAGCTGAAGTCCATACTGAGACAACATCCAAGATACACACTATACCTGTCTTTACTAATTAACATTTGTAACAAATATACTGTGCACTGATGCTAAGGAACAGATCAGACATGTCAGATTCTGTGTCTTACCTATTTTAATGATGCTGCTCAGTTCATACAAAAGCAGTTGGTTATCTCCTCCTGTATCCAGGCGCTGCTCTATGTAGCTGTTCAATTCATACACTACACCTTGCATGTTCGTATCCTGATACTAGTGAAGCAAAGATAAGAAAAACATTTTAGAATAATTCATTTTGCAGTTTTTAACACACAAATTCATTAAAAATTGTAAGTTGAGATTTCAATACCAAGTCAACCTTAACTATCCTAATGCAGATACCTAGAGAACTGGGTCATTGCTGAGTTAAGAAGCATTCCACTTTCTGCTCCATTTGTTTAAACCATACTAAGTAAACCACTGAACAATTAGCAATTGCCTAAACTTGGTCAAAGTTACATGACAATGTGTCAAGAAGAAACTCAGAGATGCAACAATTAGGAAGCAAGCAACCTTCAGCTCCTTTCTTTGAAGCTCATACTCCACCAGGAAAGGAGGCAACTAGGTACATTTGCCAGCATCTTCCATGTGAAATTCATTAAGCAAATGTTCAAAATGTGCAGAGCACCAGAGCTCTGAGGTGGTAGCTCAAGCAGATCCATCTTTGAAATATAGAAGCACCAGACTGAAGGACAGAAATCATAAGAGTTAAAACCATGCTAGACGCTGTGGCCTAACAGGCATTTGTTTCAATGGAAGGTGGCAGACACAGACCCAGAGATAACAAAACAACTAGAATATTTAGATGGGTGCAATGAAACAGCAGCATGTGCTAGAATTTCACATGAAAGGAGATGTAGTCTCCCCATAGGGGCCGAGGCACATTTAGTTATTCAGTTCCTCAGTCCTGAGGGGCTGATAAAACTGGCAGCAAATGTGCATGTGTAGCATGACAGCATCACAAACAATAATTTCACAGAAAGCAATACTTGGCAGTAAGTACAGATTCAGTATACTGCCCAAAACTGGTAATGTGGTGACTAAAGAAAGTAATATGGTCGATTACTTATTGAACTCAGTGAAGCAGTACATTTTATCACTCAAACAAAAATGAAGCTAGTGATATTTAGATTAGATTTAAATATTTAGGATTAATGTTGCTTGAAAGACTAAGAATTATCCTTCTGCTCATTCTGCTCATTAGAGTCAGATGTGTTGAGAGCAGACTAATCTAAGTAGTACTACAAAAATATGCAACAAAAGTTCACAGAAGCACCCATCATCTACCCATTGCTTCCACTTTCACTTGCACATATTTCTGTCTGCTTCATATTTCCATAGATCTTCTCTGTCTGTATCTTCATGTGCAGGCAATCCTCACTGGTGGACTAGATATATAACTTACACAGCACGTTCTGTGATATATTTTTTGCTTTCATCAATTTCTACATACAGCACACTGTGTCATGATTACAGAGCCTATAGATGTATATTTAGGATACACTTGGCTTCTTCATTTCAAACCAAACCACAAGAAAAAAATCAACAAAGCGCATGCTGGATAATGCCAGTTCCTGACTCCTTAAAATTAAGGAGATTTTAATCCTGACCTAAAAATGGCTCCTGAGCACATACAACCTCTGCTGTGACCCCTTCTTAACACATGGTGTTGTATTAATCTATTGCTCCAGATGGACATACTGGAACATTTGAGACCAAGCAAGTCGTATAACATGCCAAACACTTAATTCTCTCCATAAATTGATGTGATTATTATAATTTTTGACAGCAATAAGGTCACACTGCATACATGTAGTTAATGCTTGGCTAAGTCTTGAGTTTATAACACAGATTGCCATTACCATTATTAGCTCAGTATGGCAGCTGGCAAGCTTCCATCTGTAACTGACTGTCCTCTGCTGTGTCCTGTATTTACTATCATATAGTTCTTAAGAGGAAGAAAACAATAGCTTAGTTTCATGAGAGTGGAATTTTTATGAACAGCTTTATACTTATGATATAGCTGTAAATAGCCATGCAACAGGAAAGTGGCTAATGTAAGTCTCTTCCACTCATATATGTTAACCTACATCCACAAAAGTATGTATAGACACATATCCTAAAAGAAGGCAGTTGTCAAGCATGTATGCACAAAACCTTTATTATGTGGGAAAATGCCTTCTCAGAACTTGGAATTGAATACTTCTCACCTGTGATATACATTCAGGATTTAAATCTTCAAAGGTTAAAACTAGTACAACGGAAAGTATCATCAAAATGACTCCACTGGCATAATACCAATTTTCACCATAATCAAGCAGCAGAGCTGCATGCATAGCAATTACATAATAAGTTCTTTGCCCTTTATCCACACCTCTGCAACATATGATAGTAAACATTTTGAATGCAGGGCAAACCACTGCATGCATTCATGTTACTGAAAGATGGAAGCCTCATACTCGTACACACATTTGTAATATGGCAGATTTCTATTACTGATAATCCAAGAATCCACAACAAGTCAGATGAAGAAATTTGGTCTAGATTCACAATTAAGTAATTCTACAACTTAGAATAATCACCAGCAAGGAATTGTTTCATAATACTGTAAAATATCCTTGATTTTTCTAACAGAGGAGTAGAATAGATTTTTTTTTTATTTATTATTATTTTTTTTTTTTTTTTTTGGCATTTCAGAATGGATAACCACAAAATCTTTGGTTGAAAAGCCACAATCCTCTTTATGAAACCGTATTTTTAAACACGGAGTAAGTCATAAGCAAACCACAGCACAACCACTATTCAATGCAGATGCTAACATATACTTTAGGAAAGCACTCCCTAAAAAAATAATTAGGTAAAAATCAGCACATTCAGTGAAAAAAACATATGTATTTGTCATCAAAAAAATCAGTTCCTTAATGTATGACTGTAGCTTATTTTTCATTTAAAACATTATTAATATTCATTTTAATTAATCAATTCTGTCATTGTTGATTTCCTTCTCAGATTCTGTCTACGCATTTTTTGTATATTTACTGTAAAATTCTGAATTTTAGTGGTGTTATATTAAAATAATTTAAGTGAACTAGAAAATGGTTTGACACTACCACACCACTATGATATTGGTACCATCATATTACTAGTACTGCGTAATAGGAAAAAGCCTAATAATTAATAAGGGAAATCTGTTACAGATAAACATATTCAAAATGTATAAACACAAAAGGAGAGAGGCTGAGAATCATAAAATTTCTTGCATGAAAGGTAATACTGAAATATCAGAAAATGAAATGAATTTAACACATTCTCTCTGAACATCTGCCATTAAAAATGCAAGCATGCAGTATAATACATAAAGAAAATTTTATCAAACTTCAATGAAGATTAATCTACATGTTTTCATGCTTATAGGGAACTTGTGCCAGGGGTATTTTATGATGCTGCTGAGAAGAAAAAGCCCTTCTGCTGCAACAAAAATACTTCATTAATGGAGCACAGGGTCAGTAAGTGCAATTATAATCCATACGTTTATCTGATTTCTATGTAACTTCCTCAATTATTCTCTGAGTAACAAGAAGAAATTGCTCTACAATAATTATTTCTACACATACTACTGAATACTTTTTCCAAATTAGCAACTGCTAACTCTTGCAGTAGAAATATATCCTTTTACAGACTGCATAGTTTATCACAGTACCATAGGCTAAGAGGAATAAGAACAAATGAACAGCTGGATGTACTTTGGGGATGGAGAATGGCACTGGATTAGGAGACGAAAAAAACTGTGAAAGCCACAACACATGAGGGAGAAATTGATCACAGCCAGAAAGACTACTTTCGATTTTGTTTATTTCTTGTTTGTAATTTAGACATCTTGGGCTGGCTTCAGAGTATTTCAGAGAGGATCACAAGAGCTGTTTGTCAATTGATGCAGAAGGCTTCTATCTGACCATGCGCGTCTGAGAATCATCAGAGTGTACTGATTTCTGAGGGGTGGCTGTGAAGTCCCATTTTGCTGTGTACTCAACAGTTGGGAAGGATAGCAAGATAGATATTCCTGTTTTGCCCAGGAATTGGGAGAACATGCTGAGCTGCCATACCAGTATGCCTTGACTTCTGGGAAAGCAAGAATCAACTCTTGGTCAAGCAAGCATTTCCTTGAACATTGTCTATGTTCCAGCTGGAAGAATTCATATTATACATGTGTCCATGGCTACCCTATCAATTTGCAAGGCTCTCTAGAGGTGCCATAGAACCCTCATGATCAATGGGCCTCGGATACTCTGTCCCAATACACTTTTAACTGAGGTCATGAATCTGAATTTCAATTAGAAATAATTCCTGGAATAGGGTTAGGACCTATTGAGACAATCAGTGACTCAGTAGTTGTTGAAGGATTCTAAATCACTAAGCATAAAAGATGTTCCTGAGCTTGTTTGTAAGTAGGCCTGAGAATTTAAAATGCCTACATGCTCTTTGATAAAACAGGTAACATCTCAGATAACCAGCTAAAAATCACAGTCACAGAATGGCCAGGGTTGGAAGGACCTCAAGGATTATGAATCTCCAACCCCCCTGCCACATGCAGGGCCACCAACCTCCATACTTAATACTAGACCAGGCTGCCCAGGGCCCCATCCAATCTGGCCTTGGGAAAAAAAATAAAAATAAAAATAAAAATAAAAATAAAAATAAAAATAAAAATAAAAATAAAAAATAGAAATTAACAAACCACCTGAATTAAATACAGCTTCAGGACTTGCAGAATCTACACAGTGCTTCATCCAAAACAGTGTCCCAAAGCAAGATTTCACCACAAACATCTAAACTGGGAGATCTGAAATGTGACAAGAACCTGTATCCAAACTTCTTCAATCTTTTCTTTAAACTGATAGCTATTCCCTTTCTCTGCGAAGTATACCATAGAAACTAAGCAGCTAGTAAGCCCAGAACATCTCCTGATAAACTGCATCAAAGTTTTCTTTCCCATAATACTGAAGTCTCAACAACAGAAGAGTCATCAGAGAGCTAAGACACAATTTAAAAGATTAACTGGAAAAATTTCAAATAAAAAATCCATTCATACACAGTTCTAATGATCTGAACGCTTGCTTGACATTTGACTGAGATGTCAATCTAAATTACTTTATGCTAGACATGTTCATACTGCACCAGAAGTATTAAGAGAGCTCTTACATATAAAAATTCTC